ATCGCGTCAAATCTGACCGTCCGATTGCATTTGGGAGAGTACGCATCTGGGTCGTTCGTGCGCGCGGGAACGGATATGGGTCGTTGATCGGAGGCACGCGGATCGCTGCATGGCACCACGTCAGCGTCCGCTACCACACGGCGCATCGTGATTCATTGGGCTTGCTGACCGGGCGTCTGACATGACGAAACTTTTTTAAATTACATTTTGACCCGTAGTTTGTGATTTTTCTTTCAAAAATACCCTTATAACCCAAATTTTCATCCATTTTCTTCAAAATTATTTTTAATTTAATCTTTCATCAATTTTATTTTAATTTTTTATTCTAAATAAATAAAGAAAATTGAAAAATTATTTAATTATATTTGTAATTAAATCCTAAATTACAAAAAAAAATAATAACAATTTAGGGTGTTACATATAGAAACTCAAAGAAAAAATAAGCACATAAAAATATAAAAATCCGTCTCCTTTAAAAAACATGAATGTGTTTAATAAACTCGATCTCTATTTAATATTTAAATCTTAGAATGATATCGGAATTCTAAAAAACCATAATTTTTCTTTTTTTTTTTTTTGTAAAATATCTAACGCGATTAATATTTTTTGAAAGATTTATATTCTTACCCTTGAGTTTCATTGCAATCATCAATATTTAAGACAAAAGGTGGGAGATGCAAACTGTGATCTCTATGTATTGTTTGTTCTTTAAAATATTTAAACATGAAATAATTATTTTTAAGCTTTTTTTTATTTAAAAATAAATAAAAACTAAAAGTGCGATTAAATTATCATAAAAAGATATTATTAGAAATTAAATTGCAATAAATATTAAATGCACATAATTACCATTTTAAGTAGAAATAAATAATCAAACGAATTGGTTAATCAAAATCAAAATCAATTAAAGAAATTGAAGACAAATTTTGCTTTTGAAGGTATATTTCATGTTAGGAATATTTTAAAATTTGATGTTACTACTTATGATAAATAAAAATTCTAAATTTCCCTGGCTCATTCAATATATTCTTCTCCTATGCTAAATACGTTCTGATCATATTATTTATTACGTGTAAGGAAACTTTGCTGCATTAATCCAAAGATTTTGTTCCCAATTTGAGAAGGCAATCAGAATCAGGTTTGTCTAGATATATGTATATCAAATTTTTTCTAGTTAATTAATTAAATCAATGTGGGACATTTTCCAATAATCATAAATTAAAGCTGATATGTTCCTTAATTCTAATTGATTGTCTTCCATTGATGAGTGGATTCTAATTCTATACCCAGATATTTTTATTTCACATCAAGTTTATCATCCCAATTAATTAATTAATTAATATCTATGACATGACTAATGCCTCTGCCTTCTTTTTGTTCTTCCTTTTTTAAAAAAAAAACAAGCTTTTAATTTTATTTTATTTTATTTTAATGAAAAAAGAAAATACTTTTACATAATTGGGCACGACTTTGACCGTGCACTTATTTATCTTTCAATTGAAATTATATTCTATGTGTTAACTTTAATTCTCTCTCAAAATAACAAAACATCTCCCCCACCCCATCCCCCATAAAGAAAGAAAGAAAGAAAAAAGAGAGAGAAATATAATGAAACAACTTTCCAAATGTTATATGTAAATCTAACAATTACTTGTTATATAAAGCTTGGTCTTGTTAGTGTTTACCTTTCTTTTAATAATTTGATTTTGATTTTTTATTAGTAAAAATCCTAAATTGTCCAAGAGAAATAATGTATTTAAACTTAGTATTTTGAAAATATATACTCTAACTGCAATTATATTCTATGATTTTGTAAGTTCCCAAGTATAAAATATCACTTTAATTATGAACTTTAAGATAACAATTAAATCTTAAATATTCTATCAAATAATATTACATTGAAAGTATAGAAAACAACAGCGGGATTGATATTTATTATAAAAATAGAAGCTATGCATTTAGGCGGTATAAAAGATTAAAAATCAGTAATCAATAAAAATGGAAGATGGGTATACAAAGCTGGCAAGTTTTAGAAACCCAAATTTTATGATAAAAAGAAAGTGGATGAAATTTAGTGGAAGAGATCCCTCTCCCAAAGACATTTATGACTTTTGGAGACCTTAAAAAGGAGAAATTATGCCAGTTGAGTTAAGTAGTTTCTCCCAATCTGAAACACCCAAAGTTTTGAAACACACACGCGTATTATTCCCAAGAAAACTTGACCACAACTTAAAAAGAAGATTTTTCTCCAATCAAAACCCACATTAACAAGACTTTAAAGTAGATCTTACAAGTTTTATAATTTCCAAAACTGAAGCAGAGAGTAGGTATAGGATCCTGTTCGCCCAAAACAAAAAAGTGGAAACATTTTGAATCTTTTCCAACGACTTAAGAGCAAATGGAAGCTTTAGACAAATAACCCTACAAATCCAGAGAGACTGGTGACTGAAAGAAATATATAGATTTTTGACAAGAACCCATTAATTAATATATTAATATTTAATTTTGTCCCAGTTTAATTTCTTCCTTTTCTCATTCTTCCAATTTTTTCTTTGTTTTAACTTTCTTCAATTCCACACTCTTTATTCTCTTCATCATCCTCAAATAATTTTATAATAATAAATAAATAAATAAATAAATAAAAAAGGTAGAAATGATTGGGACCCACAAACCTTATATAACACACTCAATTCTCAATCAGCAATTATATAATTGAATAATTTTTAGAGAAAAATGAAACACAAATTACAATTGGAATATTTTATATTCACACGACATGTAAATGGTTATCATTTTTTTTTTTTCATTTAAGGGTGAGATCAAAGAAGGTAAATATGGCTCCAACACCGTAGGAGGCCACTTGGTCCCACCATTTTCACTCACCGCGTGGTGCCTTTTATACCGGGATTTAACCAAACTAAACTAGAACATTTACTACTCTGTACGGACCAAACCGTAAAGGACCTCCCTTTCACTATTACCGCTAACCCTCCCACTTCTTTTTTTCAGGCAAAGTCTGGACCACGCTCATATTGTTATGGGTCCAAGTCAAATGGAACTAAGTCGGACCAAACAAGCTTGGTAAGTATTCGGCTCAGCCCATTAAAGGTAAGTTGTATATGAATAAATAAATAAATAAATAAAATAAAATGTGGGAAGAGCATGATTGATTAAAATATAGGAAAGAGAACAGTCTGGCAGTTTTATCTGGTTTGGGAACAAGGAAAAGTTTGCTAGTAAGAAGCTATGTCTGAAAGAGACATGGCCAAGAGATTTTGAGTTATTCGCGCCATTGAAAGTAATATCTATCAGTTCCGAGGATAAGCTGTACCACAACATTCAAAACAAATCACACACCAAGCAAACCATCCCCCGAGCCTACATGGAACACAGATATCATTGTCTTGAAATACCCACAAAGGGGATGCGCTAACATGTATAAATATATTGATATGAAAATTTAAACAAAATTAAAAAAAAAAAAAAAAAATAGGCCATTTTTTTTTTCTCTCAACTTTTTATTCAACGTAATTTGATTGTTGCTACAAAAAGAATGAAGAACCTAAGAGGGAAAGCAGCAGACCTTGTAAAATCATCAGGAGGACGAGGGATTCACACCCACCCATCCCCACAAGAATTAATTTGAAGTGGTAAAAACAAAAGCAAATTTACATCAAACTTACTTAAACCAAATTTCTACTTTTTCAGCTGATTTGCAGGAAAAGGTTCTCCTGCCAATGACAGAAAAACAACCCGGCCTGAGAACCCCAAGAATTCACTGTCCGTGCACTGCTGCCTCCAATTCGAGGCCCTGCACAAAGAATATAAAAATTTATCCTAACCTTGGTTAATGTCCGCCGCTACTCCCCGTAAATCAAATCTTTAGATGTTTCCGTGTTGTTAGAACCCCAATAGAGAAAACAAAGTTAGCAAGCAGTGTCAGGCTCTAGATGATATATTCTCCGGAGACAGGCCAACTAGATTTCTTATCAGTCTCTTCCCTGCTATCTACGACTTAACCCCATCTGCTTTCTGACTCTACATATGCTGGCCCTCTCACTTTAAGTCGCTTCGGCCCTATTTCTAGAGGGGGCGGCTGCCTGATCGTCCTTCCTAAGTCTTGCTGGATCCTATCCTTTCTATGTTCTTTTTGTCTATTGCCTGCCTCCTTATGCCCCAATTTCTTATATTTGATAGAAATGGGAATGCCACTTCCTCTGGCAAACCTGTCCTTCAAGGAACTTTCTAGAGCCTCCTTATGATCAGAAATAGGGTATGAGCTGCGATTTGATTCCTTGACTCTGCGGGACTCTGATGACATCACATGACCACCACATCTTCCCTCAGATAGGTATTTCTTCAAACGTTTAAGCCCCTGTTTATTCAAGTACATAGTCATCATCCAAATTAATATAGGAAATAGCACGAAACAAAGCTCTGCGGGACCACCAAGATAAAGTAAAAGAATGTACTGAAATAGCAGCCAGACATTTAATTCTAGCTTAAGACTCAACCAAGCAGGATAAAAGCATTTCAAGAATTTAGTATGCTCGCACAAAGTGAATATTGAGGAATTGCAGAGTCCTTGCAACAACCTTTTGAATAGCTGAAATAGAGCCACGTTGATATAACTGATCCCATATGGCTTCACATAAACAAACAACGGAAAAGCAGACACCATTACCTTCTACAAACTGAAGGATTCAATCCCAAAGGACAGCAATTTATCAAATCCTTTTTACACCTAATGGCGCTGGCCAAACCAGCACAGCCACATAAACCCAATACTTTCTCAAAAACCCCCATGAATTTGTAAGAAAATGAAAACAAATTATATAACTCGAAGTAGCACAGAAACATGTGCAAAAAGAAGAGATTGCAAGACTATGGAATTTAAAAATATGACGAAGATATGAATTTCAAGTAATCTGATTATAGGCAAACCATAATTCTGTAAAATCTGTTTTTATGAAGTTCTGGGACAAATCCACTCTGAAAAGAAGAAGATCACAAAAATAACATCTGGAGAAGAAAGTTTCTACCTTTATCCCTTGATTCAAACAACACTTGGAAACAGAAATACAGAGATCTAGGCTCTGTTTGATATATAAAAAGGTTTTCTAGTTTTCGTTTTCTGAATTTATGTATTTTGTTTGTAAAAGGATACAAATCAACAAATGAGAAAACAATAGAGAAAGTGACTACGGAATTTTAAATTTTATAATGTTAGTTTTAGTGTCTTCTACAAAATTATTTTTGTTTGTGCTAAATTATTCCACAATTACAAAAACTCTTACATACTTTTGTAAATAAATAAATGCATAAACACGTGAATTTAGAAAGTGAAAACTAGAATATGTTTTCATCTATCAAAGCAGTCCCCTACTTTCTACAACTACTAAAGAAAGAGGAAATTTTTCACATAGTTCATTACATGGATGAAATTATCTTAAATATTGGAAGTACAAAGCAGAACTTGGCTTATTGATGGCTACTAGAATTAGTATTCTAAATGTGGGAGAGCACTAACTATTTAGGTAACTGTTTCTATTTTCATTTTCTAGATTCATTCATGTTTTAACAACAACAAAGATGTACAGTTGTTGAAATTGAAAATAAGATTTGGAAATAATAAGAAAAATATGGCATGAGTTTGAGAACATCGTTTTATTCATTTCAAACTTATGATTTATTTTCATTAGTATTTCTAAATTTTGTTTCCAATTTCAAACAATCATGCCCATTTGGGAGCAAGATCATACATGAATCAGAAAAGGAAAAAAATCAGA